CCTAGGATGACTTGAGGGTGAGTAAATCATGGGCTAATTTTCATTTTTTGGTGAACTATCCATTTAAAGTACTTTAATCAGCTTCACACTCCTTCTTGCCTTTTCTTTTTAAAACAACTCACAGAGATCCATTTCTGGTACCATATTATGTTTGTTTCTTGTTGCAACCCAAATAAAGAGCCTTTTACAAGTGGATTACTTGCATCTTTTGTCTCACCACGCAACGTCATACCGTTGTTCATCTGCACTTTACTCTTAACACTTTACATAACACTGCCATCTAGTGGTACATCTAACAGACAGCAATAATTTATTGAATGTTATACACCACGGGTTCTATCTCTGGCAGTGGTCCCTGGGTCTGCTCCAACATGGTGCTATCTGGCTCATTCTGGATGCTCTCCAGCCCTGGACTCTTGTTCTCTAAAACATGTACCTGGTTCTGGCCCTGGACTTTTATGCTGAAGTGTCTTCCTGTTTCCTGTGCTATGTTTGCAGTCATGTTTGCAGTCCCTTTTAGTTTGGTTAATTAGTCCCTAATTGCTAGTGCCAGCTGTGTCTTGTTAGTCCATTACCCTTTTTGTATAAATATATTTTTGGGGGAAGGGTGACAATCTGATAATACAAGAAAATGACTCTCAATTTATATAAAATTTGTATATACAACATATTAAGTGTTAACAGATATTAAGCAGACAGTCAATTACTATTCTACTAATACTCTCAAGAGTTATTTGAAATGTTGGTGAAACGTTACTTATAGGGCCTGTTCACACCTGGTCACTTAATGCCTTTTTACTGATCATCAGATAGCTAAAGCCTGGTTCACACGGAACGATTTTAAAATTGTCGGCCGATTTTCCAAACCTGAGAGACCCCACACACGGCGATAAAAAATCACGGGTCTAACAGTTTTGGTCGTACAGTGTGTGGTGCGCAGCCACACGGCAAAATCAACACATCACGCACGAACCGATTTGACTCCCTAGCATTCCCAGGTCATACGGAAACACTCGCAAAATCCCTCGAGATCAAACGTGACTTCAGAGTAAACAACCAGTGTAGTTTGTTTTTAAATGGATGCTGCACATTGGTGGTGGTTGAGGAGATTCCCCCTTCCATGTGAAGCGCTTTGAGTGCCTAGAAAAGCGCTATATAAATGTAATGAATTATTATTATTAAATTAACCGGAAAAAAAAAACAACGTTACCAAAAGAAAAGGCGATTGAGACAACGCGAGCATGGACTATTTTGATTTTGTTTCCCGGTGCTTCCTCTGCGCCTCGTCACCTCGCTTTCTGATTGGCTACACGCCACAGTCCACAGGCTGCGTGCTCGTTTGTCCCCGGGAGACACCACACACGAGGAGAAATCGGGCCAAAAAAATCCAACATGTTGGATATCCCCGATTTGAGATCGGAGCGGTCCCGACGTCCTTCCGAGCAGACGAGAGCAGTCTTAACACACCACACACGGCAGGAATATCTGATCAGATTATTTACGATAATCGGAGCATCCTTAAGATTGTCGGAAGGGGTAAATCGGGGCTAAAATCGGCCTAATTATCCTGCCGTGTGAACCAGGCTTAACTGATTTACCAAAACGATTCCATTTACACCTGGTCACATAAATGTGTTTTTACAAAACGGATATAAATCCAATCTTCAATTCTCGCGCCATATGCAGATTTAAGAGTTCACGTCACCGAAAGCAACAGATATGAGCTGCATTTTATTGATCATAGCTAATTTCAAAATCAAAGACCGCAATATGAGACAGCGGCAACATCACTGGTAAGATCATTTCGTTTCTTTACTTTTAATAAAGCTGATTGTGTGTTAAGCGTCTGCAACTTTCACTTTAATTTGCGATAGCTCGTTGGCTTGATGAATAGATCGCTCAGCTGCTCATCTACGGCGATAGTCATATCTGGCTATAACATGACATCTAGCCTATAACACGGTCTCACATGTTTATTTTTTAGCATTGTTGGGAGGAGTAAAATTTACATAAGGGGTTTCAAAAACCAGAAGCATTTACACTTCGTCTGGAATGCAGCCCATGAGATTTGAGCGATTAGATTTAAATCTATCTCAAATCCATTTCGGAGGGCATTTACACCTGGTTTTTTCACGATCGGATCACAGAAAACGCAATTAGTAAACAGCCCCATAGTCGACAGAATGTGTAAAGGGGACCATTTAAATAAAGTGTTACCAAATTTGTGAATTATGTAACATCCAACTGCAACATTCAACTGAAACTTTGTATGGTTGCAAGCAGTTTGTTCGAAGAGAGTTTTAATTATTTTGCATCTTCTGTTGTTTGTGATGTGGTGTGATGCTCTACCTAACTGATGGATGCAATGTCTGTCTGTCTGTCTATCTATTTAGCCCATTGGTTGTTGGTGGTAATGCATCAATATCTGGTCTGCCAACTGCCAAAGAAGAAGAATTTGATTTAACTAAGAGAAATTGAAGTTGTTATGCATGCCAGGCCAGTAGTTGGCGATGCCACTTTGTAAAGAACCCTATATGAGAGCCTCCTCCCATGGGAGTCGTTAGGCCAAGGCCCGCCCCCTTCTCTGCATTCTGGGGCGAGAAGAGTAATGCAGCTTGGTGCAGAGGCATGATTTATAAAGACCCTGTAAGGCCTTGTTGTGGCAAAAACAATAATCAAACAAACAAACAGGATCACAGCACAAGAGACATCAGGATTCAAATTGTACTTTAAAAGATGTTTATTCTTTTAAAGGAGGCCTTGTTCATAAAAATACCATGGCAGCTACCCCACGGTAGGAACACAGACCTGAATCACACAGCAAGCATACAGCCTTTATACCCCCCTTCTTCAGAGTCCCTTCTCCTGTAAATTTCCGCTCACCCCAATAAAACCAGATCTAGCTGGTTGGTTAGAAATGCAATGGTATGATGGTCCCTCTAAACCCCCTTCTCTCTGGGCTTTACTGTCCTCACACCTGTGAGGTCAAAAGGCTGAATAACCCCTTCTCACCTGATTACCCATGCTAACGAGTTCAGAGGCTCTTCCTCTTCCAGAGGCACTGCTATGTGTGTGTGTGTGTGTGTGTGTGTGTGTGTGTGTGTGTGTGTGTGTCTTTGTTCCTGCCAGGTATATGCAAATATTCCAGGAGAGAAATACATGATTGAATCGAAAGAAAAACCCCAATGTCTAATGAAAACTAAAATATTAATTTTTCCACAACAGCCTCAATAAGGCCTCCCCGTTACAATGGGTCTTTCTTGAGCAGGGAAAGACGGCCGTCTTTCGCCTCACGAAGAGACTGGGTTTTGTCTGCCCGACCCCGCCGTGCAGGACTAGCATGGATTTGGGCCGCCAGAATAGGCTCCAGTCACCTCACTGAGCTTCTGCTCGAGCGCCGGGTTGTAGGTGGGTGGCTTACAAGCAAGCCCCACTACCCTAGGCTGGGCGCAGATACAATTTCTGTCACCTCTAGAGCCGCTGGCCGGTCCGCACCCTGTTAAATCTATATGTGCGCAGGCATGTAGTCCTTCTTCACAAATCAACCCTCAACAAACTACTTGTTTGATCTTGAACTTGTCTGCGTAGCCACGCGAACCGGAATTATCCAGACAACTTTTTATCTGTACAGAGGTAAAGGGAGGGAAGCCTTCACAGGGGAGAGACTAGGTCACACTTCAGGACTGCGTTGTCGTCGTGTCCAGGCGATGGTCCTTCATCAGATCTGGATACGGCCTGCATCCAGCGGACTGCGGTAAACCTCGGCTGGAAAAAACAACCTAAAATTGTCCTTTAGCTGGACAATAATTTTATTCTAGAGCTGCTGTAAAGCCAAAACAATCTCTGTTACTTTAATTTACTATTATCACTGTAAAGCTGCTTTGAAACAATCTATATTGTTAAAAGCGCTATATAAATGAAGGTGCCTTTAGGCTTTTATATTCCTCTGTATCTTTGTCTGGTATTGTTTATGTTAATGTGTAGTTGTTACCTCTCCGGTTTCTCCTTTCTTATTAGAAACTCTTGATTTACTTTTGAATTGTGCATGTTCATCTACCCATTACACCTAGAGGGATGTCTAGAACTGCTACACAGTTCTCATATGATTTCTTAGAAGTTTGTGTTATGAAGTGACACTGGTGGATTAATGTGACACTTGTGGGGTGACAAATCTAGAATAATGTCAGACATGCAAAAACATTAAAATTTATGCCGCAACTGGGTTAAGCAAATTTAAAAATGTAAAGTATATGTGAACAGCAACAGTGTTGCTGGTCTTTCAACATCTATGAATTCAGCATTGATTTTCAGCCTCCAGGGAGAGCATTAACAATATTTTATACTCAAATGTGATGTGCAACAACACCACAGTACTCAGAGTAACACCAACAGAATCTGCATAAAATCTCATGTACTGTATACACATGCCAGAGTCCTTTTTGCTCACCACCTGTAAACTTTTTGAAACCTTAGTGATTCTAATCCAACCATAAACCCCTGCTGAGAGTTTAGAAGGATATAGTTTGAAAAATATGTCATGAATGTGGTGTAATGCTCTATTTAATAATTGACTGACATATGCTTTGTGAGTTTAGATATGGAAATGGACATTTGTATCGCTGAATATAGTGGTTTAAGCAAATTGAAATGTGTTTTAAGAAAATTAACTCAAGAATATGAGCCTGATTCTCAAACGACTAGCCTCTGCACATCTGCTTCATCCAACAGGCAACCTTAAACAATGTCTCTCAGTAGCATTTACATTTTCCTTGTTGGCTTTACTAATTGTTTATTTTTCAAAGTTTCTTGCTCAAAACAGTTCAGCTTAGAAGGAGATTACTTATTGGGTGGCCTTTTCGCTTTACATGAAATTGAACAAGCAACACCCCTGTTCTCCCCAGAGACCACTGAATGTTTCAGGTAAGCAAGGATTTTTTTATCAGTCAGGTTGTCAATATGCAATATTGTAAATCAAAGCAGCATTTGCTCAATGTCAAATTTATGAAGTGAAAATTCAACTGCATGCTATTAACTTCCTCACTGATGTTTTCAAGGCACCGTTCCTCAAAATCTGGCTATCAGATGTTGCAAGTAATGAGGTTTGCAGTTGAGGAGATTAATAACTCCACCACTCTTCTGCCCAATGTTTCTTTGGGCTATGACATTTTTGACCATTGTTCTAATACAAAGAATTTCCCTTCAGTTTTACGTTTTATTTCAAAGAATGGGTCAATAAAACCTAAAGAAAAACTGAACAACTATCAGCCTAAAGTGATTGCTTTAACAGGGCCATATGGAAGCACACAAACTATTACTATTGCACCACTATTCACAATGGACCTTATACCTATGGTAAGTAATGCTTATTTTTATACAGTTTATATAACAAAATAATTACACACTTACTTACTGCCTTTTGTTCAGGACAACACATTTATTATATACGGTAAAATGCTAATGAATTGTTTATAATTTGGTGTTTCTTTTTTTTTAAAGGTGAATTATGGAGCTTCTAGCTATGCATTAAGCAACAAACTTAAGTATCCTGCTTTTGTAAGAACAATCCCTAGCAACAAAAACCTGATAGAAATGATTATTCAAATCATTCAATGGTTTGGATGGAACTGGGTTGCCTTTCTTGGTAGCCAAGATGATTACAGTTCAGATGGACTAAAGCTGTTTAACACGTATATAAGTAATACTGGCATTTGTTTGGCCTATCAAGAGAGTATAAGTCTAAATGCAAACTACAGTCTAACACTTCAAAAGATTGATATGCTCGAAATCAATGTCATTGTTGTTTTTGCTCTGCCACAATATGCAAGCAAAATTATCAAAGCAGCCATAGCAAACAACATCCAAGACAAAGTATGGATTGCAAGTCAAGCATGGGCTATGAATCAACAGCTTCCCAGAGAGCCAGGAATTGGGAAAATTGGCACAATCATTGGTATTACGGAGAGATTGTTGACATTGCCTGGATTTAATGAATTTGTCTATAAAGACAGGAGATCAACTGATGTCACCCATAATGAAGAGAGTGACATCCAGAGTAAGAGTAAGTCATGTAATCAAGTTTGTGATTACTGCACATTGTGGACCGCAGAGGAGATTATAAATGAAAATCCCACATTCTCCTTTGCCATCTATGCTGCCATATACACCATAGCTCATGCATTACATAAGGTTCTGCAGTGCGACACGAATGGATGCCGCAAAAACACAGTGGTAAAGCCATACATGGTAAGATAATTCATTTTAATTTATGACAAGTTGAATCAATATATCACATTATTGTAGTAAAAATGTTTTAATTCATTAAATAATGAATAATATTATTAATATATTTATGAAATTGCATTTTATATTATATTATAATATTTAATTATTATACAATAATACATCAATAAAACTAAATTAATATTAATTTGTTAAAGTTATAGTAATATTATTATAAATTGTCTTTTTTGTACAAAATAAAAATGCACAACAGCTTCTGGGAGAAATAAAGAAGTTGGATTTTCCACTCAATGGTCGTCAGGTGAAATATGATGATAATTATGATCCACCCATCAATTATGCAGTTGTGCTCTGGCACACTGATGTAAATCATCCACAGTTTGAGATGGTGGGCACATATGATACATATCCAGAAATGACTTTTACAATCAACAACTCTCTCCTGCCCTGGCATAACAATGGTTCTGTAAGTCTTAATTTGATAAGCCTTTATCTAAACATTTAGCTTTATATATTCCAGTTTTTCCTCAGTCAATTTAGCAAATTTCTCCAAATGAAGGTCAATGCTTTTTCATGTTTAAAATCAAGATCTGAGAAATTTGTGCGTGTTTAAAGGAATTAAGTAATTAGTATTTTGTAATTTGTTTATGGAAAAAACATCTTGGTTACATATGGTAACCCTCGTTCCCTGAGGGAGGAAACGGAGACGTAGGTCATGACTGACCAATAGGAATCTCGCTAGAGAGGCCAATCTACTTCGAGTGAAACTAAAAGCCAATGCACATTGGCGTGCAATCATTTGCATCAGCTGTGCAGCCTCGCAGCGCGGGTATTTAACGAGCAGCTGTTGCGATTGCACACTAGCTTTTTGCTGAGGAGCCAAGCCTGAAAAAGCTGGCCGCCCCAGCGGGCGTTTCTGTCACTGTTGTTCCGTAATAACCCATACAGTGAGATTAATCGGATAACACTGGGAAAGCGTGCCCTGCAATTAGGAAGGAGGACGCTGCGGAAGCCACTTACTTCAAGGAGTTATGTGGGGAATACATATGGACTAGCCCGAAGGCTGTACTACATATGAGATAGTGGGTGACTTAGCCCAAGGGAAAGACACGGGCTTCCGTTAGGAGCAGCCGTGGAGAATATACACATATGGGATCCCCGTAGGGTCACACATATGGAACCCAGCCCAGATCCGGTTCTCATGGTTTCAGCGGATAAAGGCCTGGCGCAAGACGCTCCACCATGTCTGGGCCGAGGGGTTTTGGAGGACTCAACAGGTTTTTACCCTGGAGCAATAAGGGTGCACAGTAGGGTGCAGCAAGCCGACACAGCCGGACCTCTCGGTGCTTCTACCCGTTTAGGGTGAGAGAGCAAAGCCAGGGCTGGGTCTGCCTCCTCCAGGGGTAGCGCTTGCAGGTTCACTACCTGGTCCCTGAAGGGAGTGGTAGGAACCTTGGGCACATAGCCAGGCCGGGGTCTTAATACTACGTGGTTGTCACCCGGCCCGAACTCTAGGCACGATTCGTCGACCGAAAATGCCTGCAGGTCCCCTACCCTCTTCACAGAGGCCAGTGCCACCAGCAGCAAAATCTTCATGGAAAGAAGCTTTAAGTCTACTGATTGCAAAGGCTCAAAGGGAGCATCCTGAAGTGCTCGAAGCACCAGGGAAAGGTCCCAAGAGGGTATGGAGGGGGGTCGAGGAGGACTTATTCGTCTCGCCCCCCTAAGAAACCTGATGACCAGGTCGTGCTTCCCAACTGTTTTGCCATCTATATGGTCGTGATAAGCTGAAATAGCTGCAGCATGTACTTTGAGGGTGGAGGGAGACAGCCTTCGCTCCAACCCTTGCTGCAAGAAGGAAAGCACAGACCCTATCGAATATCTTCGGGGGTCTTCTCGGCGAGAAGAACACCACTCGATGAACAGGTTCCACTTCAGGGAGTAAACACGTCTCGTGGACGGCGACCGTGCTGAAGTGATGGTGTTAAGTACTTCTGGGGGTAAGTCACCTAGAACCTCCGCGTCCCGTCCAGGGACCAGACATGGAGTTTCCAGAGGTCTGGACGCGGGTGCCATAGGGTGCCCCGTCTCTGAGTCAGAAGATACTTCTTTCTCAGATGAATGGGCCAGGGAGGGACTGTCACAAGGAGCATGAGTTCTGGGAACCAAATCCGGGTGGGCCAATAGGGAGCCACCAGAAGGACCTGCTCCTCGTCCTCCCTGACTTTGCACAGTGTCTGCGCAAGTAGGCTCACTGGGGGAAACGCAGCTGTGTGCCAGTTGCGCCTTTCGCCAGCTGTGTACCAGTTTACTGGGGGAAACGCAGCTGTGTGCCAACTGCGTCCTTCGCCAGAAGGACTGCGATATCCGCACGCAAGACATGGGCATCGGCTGCTCTCACTGTAGTGGAGTGGATGGCCCGAAACTTGGGGGGACGCTGGGCGAACTGAATCGCATAGCCGATAATTCGCATAGTCTGTAGAGCCAGCAGCTGACCGCCACGGCAGGATGTATTTGATAGCCTCTGTCTGCTTTTGTACAGCCGAGAACTGCTGGGTGAAGTTCTCGACCACGTCGTCGAAGAGGCCAATCTGGGACACGGGAGTTAAGGAACCGGAGCTTGTCGGTCTCCCTCATGTCGGCCAGACACAGCCAGAGATGGCGTTCCTGGACCACCAAGGTGGACATCACACGACCCACTGACCGCGCGGTGACCTTCGTTGCATGAAGCGTGAGGTCCGTTGCGGCACGAAGTTCTTGGAGAACTTGTGGATCATGACCACCCTCGTGCAGGTCCTTCAGTGCCTTGGCCTGATGGACCTGCAGCAACGCCATGGCGTGCATGGCAGAGGCAGCTTCCCCAAGCCTTGTAAGCCTTGTCGAATAGGTCTGACGAGTACCTACAGGCCCAGGAAGGAAGACACGGTTCTCCGCGCCAAGTGGAGTTAGGGCACAGCTGCATTGCAGCGGCCCGCTCCACTGGCGGGACAAGCGTGTATCCCTTAGCTGCCCCGCCATCAAAGGTGGTGAGGGAGGAGGAGCCACTGAGACGGTTTCTGGCAGTAAAAGGTGCCGTCCACTTCCCTGTGAGCTCCTCATGCACCTCCGGGAAGAAAGGAACTGGGGTAGGTTGCTGAGAACCAGCACGCACCCCCCCCCCAGAGAGATACCAATCGTCCAGCCTCGAGGGCTCGGGACACGGTGGAGGGTACCACTCGCAATCTTCAGGTCTCCCGTGTCACTGCCCGAAGCAACCCTCTTGCAGGAACGAGAGTCTCGACCGCAGCTCCGAGATGGTCATCTTCCCACAATGGGTACATGACTCATCCACGAACGCTGCCTCAGCGTGTTCGAGGCCCAGACACACGAGGCAGCGATCGTGACCATACCGTGACCCCAGTTAACGACCACATCCAGAAACACACAGATAAAACGTCATCTTTTTTTTTTTAAAGACGCAAACTATCTGTGTAAGCTCTTTTAGGGACTGCTCTCCTTGGTGCTGAAGCACGCAGGTGAACGGTCACCGCGAACACAGACAGGAATGTGCACCTGTCTGTGCGCTGTTCTCTCTCGCTGGTCTTACCAGCCATGAAAACGGCTGTTGAGCGCTCTCACCGTACACCTTACCAGCTGTGAAAACAGCTTTTTTGTTTTGCTCAGATTAAAAATAAAAAACAGAAAACAAAAAAGAGAGAGAGAAAAAAGAAGACTCCTCGCGCTGCTGTGCTGTCACGCCCGCACCAAAGTGGAGAGATCCAGAAGAGGCTTGCAGATTCACTCTGTGTAGTCAGCATACGAAGTGCTTGGCTCCGAAGCAAAAAGCTAGTGGGAAATCGCAACAGCTGCTCGTTAAATACCCGCGCTGCGAGGCTGCACAGCTGATGCAAATGATTGCACGCCAATGTGCATTGGCTTGTTTTAGTTTCACTCGAAGTAGATTGGCCTCTCTACCGAGATTCCTATTGGTCAGTCATGACCTACGTAGTAGTGACTGACCGATAGGGAACATAGTGTTCAGGGGCCGTATTCACAAAGAATTTTATCTTACCACTAGGAGTACTCCTAAATCGCACTAAAATATTTTAGCTAGGAGTTTTCTCTTAAAAGTTATTCACAACGCCTTTCAGACCTACTCTTCGTAAGGAAAAATGACAACTCCTAAACTAAGAGTGAGTCTTCGTTGCTATGGATGACGTCAATTCTCATGCACAAGCTTCCTCGCAATGATCACGGTGATTGGTTGTTAGATGACAGGGCCATCATGCGGAACATAACACAGACACAACAAATCATGGAATTACGACATCTAAATATGTCTGTGTCCTACACAAAATAATAATAGTAATTTCATCAAAATGCATATATAATGACATGTTTGTGCAGGCCCCAGTGAAAAATGCCACTTGCCTAATAATGAAAAAATGACACTTGCATTAACCCTTGCTTGGTTAATTGACATCCTATTAGCCTAAATAGACTACTTAAAGCAAGAAAATATTGCTCCTATTGAAGTAATGTATTAGTTGAATGACGGTGGATTATGAACTCGCCAAAACGGGAAAAAAAGCCCAACTGGACGCAGGATCAGTTACTGCTGCTGGCCCAGTTGGTGCTAAAAAAAAAAAACATAATAAAAGGGAAATTCGGGACTGGGATATCAAGCAAAACTAAGCGTGAGAATGGGAGAGGATTTGTTTGCAGATCATGGCAGCATTCCCCCTTGTCTCGCGGACCCCGAACGACTGCGAGAGGCGGTGGTATGCGCTACAATCCTTTGTGAATAGGTCTTAGTGAGTTAGGAGTCCTCTCGACTTCTTTTAAGCTGTCCCAGACTTAGGTGCTACTTTTAGGGCTAAAATGCTTCGTGAATTACTCTTAGTGAAAAAAATTAGGAGTCCTAAAGTTAGGAGTGACACGCCCATTATTTTTAGGAGTTGCTCCTAAATTCGCCAGTCAGGAGCTACTTTTAGCCTTAAAATTCTTTGTGAATACGGCCCCAGATGGTTAAG